CCCAGCTCCAGGTTGAGCTGTTGTTCAGCATCTTAGCTGTGGAGGGCAGTGTCACTGGCCCTCATATGTGGGATCCGAACCGCGGCCCTCTGCCGTCCCAAGCCAGCTCTTAAACAAGGTGCCACTTGGTCAGCCCTAAAATTACTTTTACAAGCAGTTTCTTATTGACACAAAAAGCATCACTGCTGAAGTGTAATATGTGTAAGGAAACTTTTGTTCAGCCTGCAGAGAATTTGGTACAAAAAGCTAAAATCACCTTTTGTTTTCCTTATGTGCTCTCCTCTCTGCTCAGTCTCAGAGGTTCACAGGTTTTTTTTCTTTTATGAAGACTATGGTGATTTAGGGAGAACCCCTCCTGTTACCCTGATTGTTACCCTTGGCCCTTTAGTGGTCTGTCTTTAGGATTTCTATTCTTCCATTGCAAGCTTTGAGCACACGAAACATTATAGGAACAGCTGCCACTGACTGAGATCTACCCGGTGCCAGGTTCTTTATTATCTCATTGAATGTTCTAGAAAACCTAAAAAAAATAATTCAATTATCCTTATCTCCAATTCAGAGATGACAGATATGAGGGTCAGAAGTCAGAAAACCCTGCCTGAGGGTGGCGACAGATTAGAATCTCAACTCAGGTCTGACTTCGCGGCGTTTTCTTTCCTGCAGCACCTGCCACCTGGGTACACATCAGAGCACCAGGACTGGTGTCACCCTGGGTTCTCTGCCTCCGAGGGACTTTAACTACCTGGAGGTCACCTGCAGACTCCACTATTAACAAAACGAGATAGCAGTGGCTTAAGGCTGAAGTATTGCTTCAGATTACTTACCTTGAGTGTTTCAGCATGAATTTTATTCAGCTGAGAAACTTCTTGTCGCTTGCAGGCTTTTGTTGCTTCCAAAAGGTTTTCAAGATTCAGGTTTGCTTTTTGCAAAGACTGAAGCTCTGATTCCAATTCTAGCTGCCTTTTCCTAATAGATATTGAGCATTTTAAGTAATAAGTAAGGTCACACATTTGTAGAGTACTTTACAGTTTATGCACTCACATAACTTTATAGTTATCTCTTCAAATCGGAGATATTCTATTATACGGCTCAGAGACTGAAGGTATCAACTGATGACTGGCAAATGGTAGAGCTCCAATCCGGAAGCCCCAACAGTCCATGAAGACTCCATATGAGATACATTACTTTTAAAACAAACACTTCTTTATCTTTTAGAATAGAATTAATCTCAGTTATAATATGAATGTGGTGTATCTTTGTTTTCTTTTACACAAAGAGCATCAAGCAAGAATATTAACAAACCTGAAATTTCTAAAACTCCAGATATAATTCATAACAACACTGGTTTAAATTTGGTGGCTGGATTAAGAATTTACTATGCAAGTTCAACAGCTATTCATCTCAACAGGTATATCCCTTAAAACATTCCCATCACCAAGTTCATTAAACATATTATTAAAGAGTTAGAAGTCTATGTCAGTTACGCTTCTATAAAACAATGAGTAAAAAAAAAGCAAAACTAGAAGCAAGCCCTTTTCCCTCATGTCAAAACACGTTAGTTGCTATATGAGAATTTAATATTTTAAGTAAAATACTCAATTAATTGTCACTGTCAAGCCCTAAAACACTGAAAGATATTAAAATAGGTGAGCATGAATGTGTATTTATACTTTACCTAGTTAGTTCTTTGAATTCTTCATACTCTTGCTTTGAATTATTCAGCTCGGTCTGAATTTGCAGGAGTTGTGCTTTTAACTTCTCAGGGTTTGCTAATGAACATGGCTCTTTTGCAACTTTAGGAGAGAATCCTTGCTGACTTGATAACAAGGGAACTTGGTCTGTGAAAGACAAAAATAACAGAACCCATTTTCTAAGTTCTCTGCCAGGTATCGTTTTGAAGCACAAGGAGAAAACATGAGACATGGGTTGGAAGGTGGACCCTAAAATACGAGAGCCTGGAACTCAGCAGCAGACATAAGACACAACACAGTGTGGCAAACAGTATTAGAAGTTGTTTTTGAGAAGCTCAAAGCCACAGTACGGAGGGGCATACTGAAAGCCACACCAGTAGGAGCAACAGCCAACCATAGCTGAGGTGCGGCACGTACAAAGCTGGAGGGGCAACACCGCCAGCTCAGTCTGGCGGGCGGGAATCAGTGCAAGCAGCATCAGTGCCAGCAGCTAATGCTAACAGTCAGTGAATTTTAGGAAAGGAAACAAATAGCAAAGGCAGCAAGTTGAAAGAGCTTGGTATCATCTACCAGGTAAAAAGGATGAATTTTTAAATCTCTTTTTAAAAGATTAAAAAATTTAAAAGATGCTTAGAAGACTGAATATGTTGAAAAGAGTCTCACTGAGTTTCAGGATGGGAAAATATCAGGTAACAGTTGTCTAGAGAATGATGTATGTTTTGAAGATGGTGGGGTCCAGAAATTAACATTATTATCTTTCAAAGGTAGTAAGTCAAGGTACAACTGAGGCCAAAATGGCCTCAAAATACAGAGAGCCTTGTAGGAAAAAGTAGCTGAAATAATACCGAAAACCTGACTTTAACTTTGCATCTAAAATCTTAGTCTCTCCACAACCCAGATACTAAGAATTTTATTAAGTCACAACAGAAGGGAAGAAGGCTTGGAAAAGGAAATTTTAGAAAGCAAGGAGACAAAATGGCTTCTCTGAGTGCAGGATAAGAAGATTAGAGCTTTCTCAATTTCAGCCTAATGAGAAACAGAGGCTGAGACAGAGTATGATAAAAGACCATGAAAATATTCACTCTAAAAACGGAGCAAACACAGATTTTGTTACTAGATCCCAAAGTACTTAACGCTGATAGCTGCCAAGCCTTTAAGTTAGATTCAGTATTAACTAAACCACTTTTCACAAAAGTACAAGCAAACTTATGGAAATGCTGTATAACTAACTGAGAGTATGCTGGCAAGCACAACCAGCGACCACGACACCAGGACCAAAACACTGCTGGCTGGACCAGGAGTCGGATCACACTGACATCTCTCACCATCAGACCTTAATTGGATGGACAGACATTTCCACTCTACATTCACTCATGTTGTGCTTCGTTAAGCACTTTTAATTTCAATACTTAAAACAGGAAACTTCCAAAGAATAAAAATTAAAAGTAATACTTAAATCAACCTTTTTTACCCACAAAACTGAGATATATAATAGGTATTTCCTTGAAATATCTATTAGCCTACATAACTTACTAGTCTGATTTTTGAGAAGTATAGAAAAATGCCTTTTGATAACATAAAAGAATAAGTCTGATATAACAAGTTTATGCACCAGGTCTGGAGGCTAAAATAAAGAACCCCCCAATGCAAGGCAATAAAATGCCCTTTAAAACAGCCCCCGCGCCCCTAGAAGGCATGTTCTACAACGACCACTTCTTACTTTTGTCATTTTTCTCTGTGCCCGATACTTCGAAGAAAGCTTTTTCTAGCATTGCGATGGTCTGGGCATCCATTTCTTGGGCTCTCTTCACGGGCTCCAGTGATCTCAGCCTTCTATTCTCCTCCCGGAGGGAATGGTTTTCCATAGCATATTTTGCAACTCTGGGGTGGTGCTCTATCTGTGACAGAAGAAAGGCACACTTACAAGTTCACAGACATGTCCTTAACGAACGAGTCTTTCTGAAAAGCCCTTAGAAACGCTATGAACGCCATGCGCACTGCTGGTGGTAGCCGGCTGCGCCCACTGTGGAAAGCAGCCTGGCATCTGTAATCAGTGACTGAATACATGCACATCCTACAACTCCACATTCTCCGCCTGGGTCTGTACCCTTGAAACCTTCCCCAGGTGTCTAAGGAGATCCGCACAAGGGTGTCCACTGCGGCAGGCTCTTCATGCAAAGGCGCCTGAGTACATTAACACGATGAAAAGAGTAAAGAAACTCTGCTGACCAGGATCGACTGCCCTCCAAGATAAGAGCTGCCTTCTGTGTACAAAAGGAATAAATGTATCTATCTATGCTAGTTTGAATATGCATAAAACTACTGGGAAGACATACAAAACTGAAAACCGATTATCTTTGGTTTTCAGTGATGTGCCTGTATGATTACCCATCCTTCCTGGAGAAAGGAATTCAACAGCAACACCTTCAAAGGGCTGACCTGTAAAGAGACCGCCCACTGGATGAATCAGCCTTGGCCTGCTGGGGCTGGGCGCTGTGGGAGCAACAGAACATCTTCCTCCTTTTTCCCTTCAGGTTTTATTATTTTAGAAAATGGGAGGAAAGAAATGACGTAATCATTACGGTCAGTTCATTTAAAACAACGTCCATTGTATTCCACTGTATTCCAAAAATTGGGTGTCAGGTTTATATTGGCCTTCTTTTCTTTTCTTTTTAGAAATACTGTTAATGTCAGGCACTCACTTGTTCTCGCAGAGTTTGAATCTCATCCCTTAATTCCGACAGCAAACAGTCCTGCTCCGCAGGCAGAAAACTTCCCCGCGACTCCTTATGTAGCTTCTCCAGGCGCATTATCTGGTCCTCTCGGAACTTCACAATCATTTTATTAGACTGAATAAATTTCTCTTTTTTGAGAGTGAGGTCTTCTAACTGGGTAACTTTTTCTATTAGAGACTTAATAAATGATGATTTGGTTAAACATGAAAAAGAACTCAGCTTCCCTAAATTTTCACAAACCAAGTAACACTCACTCACTTCCCATTTAATCTCAAAGGCAAAATTAGATTTTTCACAGCATTCCTTTGTTTTATTTACTTGTGCCATTTTTTCCACTCAGAAAGGCACCATATAGTAAAGCCTAAAATATTTTACATCCCCTTTATACTAATTCAGTTTCCTACCTTCTTTTCCTGTTCAGATTTCTTAAAGAATAACATTGCCTCTTGGAAATACTTCACGTAATTAGTCTCATCTTTCTCTGTAATTGATCCAGTAAGAAAGGGAAAGAGGAAAAAAATTGTTTAGCTCTCAAATCTGAAGACCAAGACATGAGCCAAAACAGCTTTTGACTGACTGCTCTCAATTCATCTAAAAAATCCAAACCACTATCACCAGAGCATGAATTTCAAATTAACCCAATCCACACAGTAGCTATTCTCTAAAGAAAAATAAGTCTCTCTCATCCTATTTAGTAAATATATATAGATTACATACGACATAATAGAATCTTAGAAGTGGATCTAAATGAAATCTATTAGTATGTCTTTTTGGCAATTAATAGAAACGAATTATTCAAAATTATTTCTACTCCCCCTTCCCACGTCTCACAGAATTTGGTACCTACGGAACCTGTATCTGGCAAGAAAGTACCATGTTCCTGTGGAGATGAAATAAACAGAAACAGACACTTGTGGGAAACTTTGGGCAGCCTTACTGCACCGTGCCTGTGGGCGGAGGGTCCTCCCACTAACACCCACGCGTGGTCGGTCTGAGGATACGATCACTGCGCTCACCGTACCTCTGGTCAGGAAGCTTTCTGGAGGTATCTGCCCGGAGGAAAGCTGGGCCAGCTGTTCTCTGAGCCTCTTCACTTCAGCTTGGAGCTGGCTCACATTTCCTTGAGTGTCTTCATTTACCACGGCCTGTTCGAGAATTTGTTAAGAAGCATGAAAAGAACAGTTTTTGAGTAGTATACTCTTGGTTTTATATTTATTTGTATGATTTGGAGCGACAAACAGCAAACAAAACTGCACTTCCGTGTCAGAAACGGTGGTCAAAAGGCCACCAGAACCGCCAGGTGCTGTGGTGGGGAGGAAGCTGCCTTCCTGTGTTCACACCCACAGCCAGAGAACCACGCTCCCACTTAGGTCTCCGCTCTGTTGAGTAGGCCTGGGCCCTGTTGGGCTGGGTCACCCCTGGGGTCTGGGTATGTTCATGGAACACTGCGTTCTTCCTCAGATGGACAGCCCGCCCCCATGGAGAAGAGCAAAGCCCTCAGTGGGTGTGGCTCCCTCTGTGGCTGTGATGAGCTGCAGGGCTGGCCTGAGCTCCATCAGCTAGGCAGAAACCACCGTCTCCAAAGGCTTCCAACCCTGTATTTCCTAACAGCCCTCCTGGAAGGAAGGGTTGGTGTGACAGCTCCAGTTCTGTTTTATCACATTTAATGCTATTTTAAAGAAATGTCCCTTTAAGAAATTCTCTTAAAAGAAATGTCTTATTTGAGATGACACCTAGGAGATTCAAAAAGGCCCACCAAAACCTACAGGGTAAGAACAAGTGCCAACACCTGAGTACCAACCAGATCAAAGGGACCCGGCTGTGAAATACCCAATACTCCAGTGAGGGGAAAAAACCCTCTGACAGCCCCAAGGTCCCCACATTCCTGTCTTAAGCCAGGTCTGCCCATTGGGAAAGACCTAAGTAGTTCATCCTTAAATAAGTCCCAGATATCCCAGCCGCTTTTGCTGTAGCAGAGGACTTACCATTGATAGTGACTTGTGTAAGGCTCCCAGTTTTGTTGTTTCATGTGTTAAGAAGCCATTTCTAGTTGCTTCTGATTCTTATGGCCTCATTACAAGGCACTCCTGTACATTCTGACACCATAGTGACATCATAATTCAAATTACCTCTAAAGTTTTCCACACTTTAAAACTTCCAGTAAGTCCCAAGAGATAGGGTCAGGAAGCTCTAATGAATTTTCCTCCTTATATTACAAATACCCCACTAGGGGGTCATAATCCAATAAAATGAATGAATGACTAAACCTACACTCTTCTGACTTACCCAGGGGAAGAGGCAACATGGACTCCTTCACTCTTACCATAAGATGATCAGAGGGTCTATTTTTAAGGTAAGAACGGCCAATTTCTCCTTTGAAAGACAGCGGAAATGCATCACTGTACTCAGTATTTTACCTTATTTTTAATCAGCTTGGCTCTTTGAGCAAAATTCAGCGTTGACAGAGTTTCCCCGAAGCACCTGGGTCCTGGATGGACGTTGGCGACTATGGCCGTTTTGGCGTTACCACCCAGGGAATCCTGTTTAATGATACGAATGGCACACATCTTCAGAGAAGAAACCACAAGATCTTTTTTAAGCAAAGAAAATGTATACTCTGACCACCAAGGCTGAGAAATTCTCCACCTATCAGCCTTAGCGAGCATAACCACTTTACCCGGAGTAAGAAGGTGAGCTTGGAGTCTCGGTAGCACACGTGTCTCTGTTTGCCATTACCCACATCGACAAGTGCGGTAATCACTTGGCCCAGGCAGCTCAACGATCGGTTTATGTTACCTGCTTCCTAAGACACCAGAGAAAAAAGAACAAAAATTTAGGCGCACTGGTTTCTTTTTAGTGTTTTGAATTAAAATATACCTAGCAAGGTGACAATTTTGAACAAAAAGGCAAGTCAGGGACAATATTAGTTAAGGATAACTAACTTTTCAGCAAAAAGATGTCCTCAACTATCCTCTACCCTTTTCCT